AAAAAAGAGTGAGCRAAATCGGTTCAGCCGTTCTCAATTGATGAATTGTTATACATTTTTGTCTCCATTTTTATATATATAGATTCAGGAGCAAAATATAAATTTTGGGGGGTAAACCAGGTGGAAGTAAATTTAAAAATATTAAAAAGTATGTGGACGTACAAGGAAGTACAAGGAGTTACACAAAAGTTTAAGGGATTACAAGAAAGTATAATGAAGAACATGGACGTATAAGGAATTACAACAAGGAAATACGTGGAAGGTATGTGTGGAAATATTCACAAAAAATATTTAACCAATTCAGAAATAATTACATGCAGATATATTTAAGAAAAGTGATAAGGTACCATCAGTAACAGCTGTCTTGAGAAAACTGATGCTAGGTTAGATTAGATGAAATAAGAATATACCAGCGGGTGAATTAAAATAGACTGACTGATTTGCACCCTGCAAATTGAATTATTAAACTCTAACAGTAATATACTTTCCGAGTCAGATATTTAATTTATAATACAGCCAGTATATAATATAAAAAAATCTATTTTATTTATATATTTTAGAAGTGACCAAAACTAGAATTTGCACTGATAATTTTGACAAATTTTAATGCCACTCAATTACATTGACATTTCTAGAGTTTGAGATATTTACTGTAAGCATTATTTATAAAAGTATTTGTTTTTTAGTTGAAAATAATAAAAAAAAAACGAATAAGTGGATGTCGCTCTGCTTTACAGTAAGTTAAAAATAGATTACTATAATGGTATTAAATTTGAATTCAATGATACTATATTAATTATATTGCTATTATTTAAAAAAAAAAAAAAAAATAAGGTACCTATAAAATAAATTCCAAACAAATCAAATCAGATTAATTATGCATGTACCAGTCATTCATAATATATGCAATCTATTATAAAGTATTAATATAAGTCATTAACAATATTACATCTATTACAATTAGAATATAAATTATCCTCTAGAAATTTCAAGTACTCACGAATAATGTTTTTAAACTACAATAATATAGCTAAAATTGTTATTGTTGGTTATTTAATATGTAAGTTTAACCAACTTTGTACTTAAAATATAGCCATAAAAAAAAAAAAACTGTGATTAGTTCTTTTTTTTTTGTTACATTGTTAATTACTTACATGAAATCTTGTATTAAATTTTTAATTCTTATAGCTATAAAAGTTTAACGCTTTATGTTTAACAACTAAATAATTTGTAAATTTTCAATTTAATGAATTTGGTCAATACCTATTTAAATTTTAAGCGGTTGTAAAAAAAAAATGGTACTATTGGTACTTGTTTGTTATCGCCCCGCCAGTACACCGTATAATATTTATCTCCCCGCCATTCTTATTTGTTATCGCCCCACATATAGTTATCGTGTTTAGCTCATGATAGATGATCTATTTTGGGAAATATTTTAGGAAATAACTACACTTTGCGAGACATTTTATATCATACTAATATAATATCAAATAAATAATAATATTATATTAGTACGTTGCTGGCTTAATAAAATRTAATAATAAAAAGATATTTCTGAGTTCTGGCCTCCTTTGTAAATTTATATTATTATTTTTTTAAATTTATAATTGTAATACATTTTTTAATTTTAAATGGCCTCCTTTGTAAATCTATAATAATAATACATGTTTTTATTGTATTATAATATATTTTATTTATGACGGGGCGATAACAAACAAGAGTGGCGGGGAAATAAATTTTATACGTTGTACTGGCGGGGCGATAACAAACAAGTACCAAAAAAATCATACTTATGTTTTGTCAATATTTTTCAATTACAATTGTATCAATATATAAGGAGTCTTATATAAAAAGGTCTTGTTTTTTGACCAAACAAATAAAATTTTATTGACATTTAAAGATATAAAAAAAAAATGTTGTATACAGCTCAAAACGAATCAAAATATTTTAAAAATTCTATCAAATATAGTAATTAATAAAAATAAACATGGTATAAATTTCAAGATTCTACAATTATTCATGTGTGAATTACAACAAAATAAGAAAATTATTACATGAGAAATTGAGTGAATATCCAATGTAATAAAATTTTAACTTCAAACGCTCATAAAAATGTAATTTGGATTTTCAGGAGACGTTTTTTCTTCTATAAGGTATGAAAACTTAAAGGTATCTTGTATTAAATTTTGAAATCTTAGATTTAAAAATAACATTTTTATGAATTYCTAACTTAATATTGAGCTTAATATAATTTGCAAATTATCGTGATTTTCACGAACCTTGTCAAAATTCTAACTTCAGACACTCCACAAACAACATACGAGGAACCTTGAATACATTTGTAAGTTTTTTGACAGACCGAAACATTTTTATTTTACATTAATTCATAATTGAAAAAAAAAGTTTATAATAATCGAAAATGCCATATGCCTATGAATCACGAGTCAACATATTTACGGTCAATAGAAAATGCTAATATAAACATTTAATAAAAATATGCGTCTACGGTAATTTGTGTAATAGTCACACCAAAAACAAAAATTGATTTATTCCGAACCAGGTTATGCATGAAAATTCTCCTTTTTCCTTGGTTATTTGTTTGTTTTTCCTGCTGCTTTTGAAAACTATTGAGAATATTTTACTTTTGACCCATCAAAGAACCAACTAGTATCACTTTCCAACCAGAAAATAAGATGTTGAAGAAAATCAAAGCACTTTTACTACATCAAAACGTGATGATAGACAAAACAAATAATAAAATGTGAGGAATGTATTGATTTTACAATAATGTATTTTTTTTTTTTTATTATTATTATTTTTTTTTGTCTGTCTGTCATCGCGTTTTGAAGAAGAAATAATGCTTTGATTTTTTACTTTAGCCCTACTTTGAAAAGTAAAATACATCTAATTGGTAGTTTAGGGCATCAAAAGTAAAAATGTCCAATAGTTTTCAAAAATTCAAGGTTTGTTATAAATTGTATTTTTTGTAGCAAAAAATCATTAGTCACAATTTTAATTAATAAGCATTTAAAATTCAAATGTTTACAAAATATGTAAAAATCACTATATTTTCAAGGAATTATGAAGTTGAAAATTTATTTAAATTGCTGTAATAAATACCTAAGGTTAAAAATCCTAACCCAAAGTTCACCATTACTTTTTCTTCAAATAATTATAAAAATACTACAAAGTTAATATGGAAAACATTTTGAGAGCGTATAAAATGTATATTTAAATATTGTGTGCGTATAAAATATAATATAATTTAAATATAGGTAATATAATAAATCTTAAACTGATAAATCATCTCTGTTTAGAATCGTTTTTCGTGTACAATGATACCTGTCATTGCATTCAAATTTAACACATCTATATAGTGACCTATTTTTAATCTATTCTTTCCTGCAACTCTCAATCTGTTATTTTATACACACTTAATTTATTCAACCAGGCTGGTTTCATAATTTAAATTTAAAAAAAAAAATATGTTTTTCTAATTTATTAGATATTATATACATGTTTATTGTAATTGTCGAAACTAATGGTTCTCATCAAGTTTCTTAAAAAAAAAAAAAAAAAAAAAAAAAGGTATAATGACCTACTCACCATCTCTACTATACAACAGAGCGATACCCACATTTTTTCATTTTTTTTTTCTATTGTTATATTATATTATAGAAAATTTATATAAACTATTTTTTTAAATAAAATTTTCTATTTGTTTCACTCAAATCAAACTATGTAATATTTTATGCATTATTTATGATTTTATGAACATATTATTCTATGTCATAACAAATTCCATAATAAATATACATTTGATTTAACTTTTTAGATTTTTCATGAATTATAAATTTTTAACCCGGAGTTTTATAATACATATTAATATGATATATAGAGATAGACTAGAACTCTATACTTTTCAATCTTTTTATATCACAACCATTATTTATCCCTGAATATTTATTGTAATCATAGATAATATATGAGTATTATATTGCATTATCTATGATCGTGACCGACAATCCACATTATTAAGTTTGCAAAAATGACTTATGAACAATATAAATAATTCAAACAAATATTATAGAACTTATACTTTATACTGATAATACACCATACTAATTAGCTTACATTGATTCAATTAAATAWTTTTTTATAAAATCTTAATATATAATATGCACAAATATATTGTCAAAAGTAGTACAAAAAGGTGCATAACAATGGAATTAAAAATAAAGTCTGTAAAAGTATGGATTAACCGAGGTAGAAATATAGGGAAGTTTAAATAAATCTACCTAAAGAAGAACACAAACATTAGTTTGTACTTGGGAGTTCTAAGAAAATATTTGTAAGTACATGGAAATAAAAATGAGTATTGTGAAATATATGACAATATTGAGAAGTACCTAAAAGTACAAGAATGTACTTGGAAGTACATAGAAGTATACATTGTTGAAAGTCTGGTGTACAAAAACATTAACTAGTAGTTCCGCCCCTCTAATATATTTAAATGATGACTGTACATAATTTACAACTGGATAAATCGACTTAGATAACTTTAAAAATTGATCAATACCAATTTAAAGCAATATTAAATTATTTTAAAATTATCGAAATATTACATATACAAATATTAGAAAATTACTTAAAATAAATACTACGTAGATAATGAGATTAATTTTACACAGGTTTTTACGTATGGACATGTGCATTACTGCATCATAAATGAGCGCAATGGTTGTGTGCGAAAAAAATAATACCATAAGCGTTTTGGAAATAAAGATAAAACAGAAAACAAAAAAAAACCGAAAACCGATCGATAGACGTTGAAATAATTCAATACAATTATACGGTGGCCCGGTGGCGGTTGGTTCAATGAGGTAAAAACAAAATGGCCGTTGGGTGACACGCAGTACGATTTTCGCAGAACAGAATGAGTGATAAAATGTCTATTTCTTAATCTTGTAATCGTTATCATTATTGAGACAAGTACGTACCTATTGTTTGACATGATGGCAAACGGCGAATAGTAACGTCGGCAACCTGAATTATTTCACAAAAACTTGAAGAAATTAATGCCGCGAGCAACACAAACAAACGACTAGGTACTCGAGAAACGGCTTACTCGGAATGGTCGCCATYCGCACGGGCTGCATCGGTGGAACCGGCACTACGCCGCAGTCGACCGTTGTCGCACGTTGTCGACCGCCGTCGCCCGTCACCGGCTGAGCCTGCCAGTTGAAGTCCGCGCCCAATAGGTGGTGTGGGGAGCTTCTTCGTCGACGTTGCCAAAGAGGGACGAGAGTGCCACGTACTAACACAGTAACACTGTGTATCAACTACTGATATGTGGACGTTTGTTAACAGTGTCAGCCGCTCTCCAAGACGTCGTTTTGTCCATGAAAAAATAATCTATTTAGTTATATCAGAGTCCGTTGTCATGATCGATGTATAGCCTGCTGGTATAGCAGCTGGTTCCATTTTCATTATAATTTATTGGCATATAATAATTGTGATCGATATTTTTACCAAAGCCATGAAAATACGAAAAATTCTCTCTCCGTATTCCGTACACTGGGCTAGGCGTGACTTAGGCGACGATTTCGACTTCCACGTCGACAGTTGTTTCTTAATTTCTTATACAGCCGCCGCYGCCGCGTCACACGTTGTAAATATTAATGTATAGTATAAAATATTGTTATTGATATATTSATAGTCGATAACTACGATGAAACCGGCAATTTTTTCCGTCGGCGCGTTCATGAGGCAATCGTTGATCAATTTAATATAATCCTGAAGTACATTAATTTGTATTCATTATTTTACTAACTGTCCTGCCCAGCGTGGCCTATGTTTAGGATTTGTTTTTTGTTTGTGTGTACCATATATCTACTAATAATAAGTAATAATAAATAATATCTTACTAGATAATGGCAATCATTTAAATACCTAAACAAAAAAAAAAAAATTTTTCGTGAGCTAAAATAAACTTATGCAAAGTTATCACCTAATTAGGTATAGGATGGAAAAAATCAACTAAAAACACTTGAAATCTCTTGAAATCCACTGATAGGTATAACTTTTTATTAAAACGGTGCAGTTTTTGAGTTTATCGACTTCGATTAACCCAACGTGAAGAGTTTAAAATATAGCGACCAAACATCATAATTATAAATGATAATTATTATATCCTATCATAATAACAATAATTGAATTTTTATATATATTGCATTTATATATAAATATTTGAAAAAAATATATACATACAAAATGTTGACTAATTATAATTGTAATATAATTTGTAACCTATGTGAGTCCACTGAGATATACCCTTCACCTACCTTCAAATGTTATACTGTTGAAAAAATTAGATATCAAAAGTACATCGCACCCGTATATGTTGTATCCATCTAAACATATTGTACAACACGTTAAATTTGTGTGATTAAAACAGTGGTGATAAATTACGTATTCCATTTTCAAGTACAGGGTTCAATACTCGTGCAACCTAATAATTCTTTTTTCTCTATTTTTAGGAAAACGATAATTTCGTAAATTCTAGTTAARYTCTCAAATGAAATTTTCAAATAATTTTTATTCTAAATTGTGTATTTTATCGCCTTTTTTCAAGGGTTATAATTTTTATTTTTTTTACCTAAATAGTAAGCACATAATATATGCTGGTTTTTAAAATACATATATTGCTARCTCGCTCAGACATTTAATATTGATAAATAATAAATACTACTATTATTTGTTACTTTTACACCCTGTCCTGTAAAATATTTATTTTTTATATTCAAAATTAATTTCGGTTACTTTATTTTAGATAATACTTATTTTCGACCTAGTTCAACATACTGTACCTTACTGCATACAAGAACCACTTTAATATTATTAATGCTTAATTAATTTCTTATCCCTTTATTTGAAACGTAATTTTAGGAAGTGATTATAAAACCTAACTTAAAACGGCAATTTACTTCTCCTTACTGTTCACCAAACAATTTAAATTTAAATTAATTGTCAGTGGACTTTCAATCTAAAATGTAATTTTTAAATTTATTTGAATTTATTACTGTTATAAATATTCACCAACCTTCATTTATATGTTTCTTATACAAACAGCAATAATTGTGATACACCTTGTGATGCTAACCATCATTGATCATTACTAATAGTTTTTCCAACCAATACTTATATTGAATAATCGAATATAAGATAGTAACTAACAATATTTACTTGAAAAATTTCTCAGATATCATCAAGTTCTCTGGCAGTTAGGCTCAATAAATAGCATAGGCAGAATTTCTCACCTTATAGTTAAGTTTTTATTTAAAAYATTTAATGTTTCAAAGAGAAGATTGCTCATAAATCTTTAAAAGCTCTGGCACTATAATATATTAACTATTTTAATAAACTCTCAAATTTATGTCCCCAATGCAAAGCTCTCTCTATATTAATCTAGGTAAAATTATTTAAAAATATTCCAGAAGATTATTTGAACCTTAAAAACTTTCTAAACTCTTAGACAATCTTGGTTAAAATCAATATTATAACTTCTTTGGCTGCTCACAAGTTCCCACCTACACCATATTTTATTTCTAATAAAATATATCTGATCAAAAACATATATGTGAAATGAGAGCCAAGTTCTATATTATGATATATGTAGGGTTATGAGTATGAAATATTTCACATAAAATGTTTGCATTCAACTTTGAAATATTTSAAACTTGAAACTTTCAGTCTTCTTGAAATATTGAAAAATATAATATTTTAATATTTTTTTTTTAATTTTTGTTTTTGGTGTGTTTGACAAAATCACTAGTAGATGGGTACACTCGTTTCATAGCTGATTAGTGATAATCGTTTCACAATCATGTTTATCTTTGATGTTTATATATTATAATGATAGTTGATAATACTAATATGATATAATATTTATATACTATTTATTATTTATATATATTAATATACAAATATGATGTTATATTAGCCCTGTAGGCTGTAAATTATAAATTATAATAATACTATTATACTAATGATTTAATAAAGATAAAATTTTTATTTATATTATTAAAATAGGAATACTATAATGAGGTTTTAACTATTTAATTATTTTAATAARGACTCTGGTTACAATTATATCAAATTGGTTATTATAAAATATTAATATTAGGAATATTTTTGATATTATTTACTTTTATAGTATATTGATATTATTCTTTATATTC